TTGTACCATTTTACAATCCTGACTAAATGCGCTAACTTTTAACGGCACTTGCCAAGGCGCTCTAATACATTTTTTTTAAAGGAGGACCTTTCAAAGTCGACAAATTTTGAAAATTTTAAATTCATAGTTTAACAATTCTAGGAAACTTGGGACAATTGTGTCACTATTTTTGACTTTGATTCTAGAAATGTTATTTAGGGTTACGGTTCCAAATTTTAAATGAACAAAAATAATAAAAATTAACCACAATAACCGAAAAATTATTACAGTGTGACCAAATTTTTAGGTTTTTCTTAAATGCCCATAATTTTCAAACTGCATGGGATAGGTTTTTTTACTGATTTTTTTCATGATGGTTACAATCAATCCTGTCGCCCCGTTTCGGCTTGACGTTGAGTTCTGGGACAACCTGTATATTACGGTGAAATCATATTCTCTAAGCTTTAAACGCCAGCGCGTTAGTCGTGAGTTCGGCTCCTTTAAGTTCATTATCCATTGCAAAGGCTTGTGATCTGTTTTAATGTTGAATTTGCGGCCAAATAAATATGGGCGGAAATACTTACAAGCCCAGACAATGGCTAAAAGTTCTTTTTCTATTGTGCTGTAATTAGTCTCACTAGTATTAAGTGTTCTTGATGCATAGGCGATCGGTTTATCTGAACCTATTGTACCTTGAGATAATATGGCACCGATAGCGACATTAGACGCGTCTGTTGTAAGAATGAAATCCTTAGTAAAGTCGGGGTACTGCAAGATGGGATCATTAATTAGAATTGTTTTACAGTATTCAAAGCAATCTACATATTTTTGATCTAGGACTATTTTTGCACCCTTTTTCAAACATTGTGATAGTGTTATTAAATAAAACTATCTTTTCGGATTATTTCGCGGATTTATTTTGATTTTTGGTTCCAAGGGAACCAAAAATCTTTGATTTTTGGTTCCAAGGGATAGTTTTATTTAATAATGTCAAACATTCGCGTAAATCTAAGAAAGTATTATTGTGTTAGTGGTTTAGTGACACGTGCGAAATCTGGTATAAATTTTCTGTAATATCCAAGTAGTCCGAGAAAACGTTTGATTTCGGTAGAAGTCTTTGGTAAGGGATAATTTTGAATTGTTTGGATTTTACTAGGGTTAGGCTTAACACCCTCATTAGATATTAAGTGCCCTAAGAATTCTGCTTCTAATTTTAAAAGTTCGGATTTATCCATCTGTATTTTAAAATTCGATTCACGTAGTTTTTTGAAGACTTTTTCTAGGTTTAAAATGTGTTCTTGGAGGAAAGTACTGAAAACTATTATGTCATCTAAGTATACTAGGTATATATGATCTAAGTATATATGATTCTGAAGATCTTTTAAGACATTGTCCATCACCCGCTGAAAGGTCGATGGTGAATTCTTTAAGCCCATTGGCATTCGCAGAAATTCATAGTGACCATTTTCTATGTTAAAAGCTGTTTTATGTATATCCTCAGGGTCCATTTCCATCTGGTAAAATCCACTAGCCAAATCTAATGTGGAAAAATACTGACATCTACCTAATTTATCAAGAACATCTGTAATATTGGGAATGGGGTACTTGTAATCAACCGTTTTCTCGTTAACTTTTCTGAAATCTACTACAATACGCCATTTAACCTTACCTGAAGCATCAGCCTTCTTCGGCACTATCCAAATAGGTAAACTCCACGCTGAATCCGAAGGCCTGATGATGTACTGACTAAGCATCTTAGACATTTGGTCTCTTACCTCTTGCCGGTGAACAAAAGGATACCTATAAGATTTTGTATGTACTGGAATTTCATCTGTAGTTTTTATTCTATGCTTTATCCTTCAAGGTTGGTGAATGTTAAACTTTCACCTTCAAGGTAAAACACATCTGCGTAATTTGCACAGAGACGTTCTAAGTTAACGCGTTCTTCCGGATTTAAATATTCAGTACGAAGTCGGGATAAAACCTCTTTAACACGATCGGATAAAATTTCAGTACACTCGCTTTCTATGTTAAATAACTCAGCCGCTACTGGCCGGTCCATAGAAAAGATGACGTCATTATATGTAGTGTTAGTAACCTCTACCCAACCGCGGTTATTTACTACGTTAGTTATACAATCCGAAATCAAGCAATTGCAAATGGTTTGCTTTTCAACTAGAACATCACCGTCTAATGAATTTATTGGCAATCTTATTAATTTGGATGAATTAGCAGGAATTATGTCTTCATAAAGATTAGCTATCCGCGAATCATACATATAAATAGGTATTTTAGCGTTGCGTGTAATAAGTAGTTTGTTACTGAGATCTATGTTAGAGCCCCAGACGTCAAGTAAGTCAAATCCTATTAAGCCATCAAAGTAATTGTGAAATTTATAAACGAATAAAGTAATATCATCTTGCTCGCAGAATTCCGGGAAGCAAGGTAACGTTATTGAGTAATCATTTTTCGTTGTAGCATGCACATTAGTTACTTCGAATGGTTCGTAATTTAATGGAATGTGTTTAAAATATTTTTGAACAGCTTCTGGGCTTATAAAACATTAATTAGCCCCAGTATCTATTAAAAAATTTAATGGGGGATTATTTATTTTAACATATCCCAGCTGCCTTTATACGTGAAAATTTAATTCTATTTTGGTTTTTCTAATTTCTCATCCTTCTGAAAATTTATGTCACTGTTCGAGACAGATGTATTTACTATGTGCAGAGTGCTTTATTTATTTTAAAATAATAAATTTCACTTTATGATATCATTTACTTTTATTGAAACAAACTCTTATAACTATTACAAATTTAACTTAATCAACCATCATGGAATGTGTGTATATGTAGGGACACAGAGTAATACAACAACGTAGAATACATAGTAATATATAAACTTAAACCACAGACTATCACAACACCACCCCTCGATTTTATATCTATGAAATCGTTACTACATATTGACAAATTTATTATAAAAATTAACAATTAAGGCAACAATCATTTTTTTTAATAATAATATTTTATTATTATTTTTTTAAGATAACAATCAATTTTTTAAATAATATTTTTTTTTATAATCTTACACAATATTTAATGAATTTCTTATATAAGTAATCCTTTCACGTGACATTATTTTAGTAAGCAAATCTGACAAATTTTTCTCTGTAGAAACATAAGAAATATCCAAAATCTTTTTATCAACCAAATCTTTTATGAAATGCATCTTAATATCAATGTGTTTAGCTCGCTTAGAGTTTTCATAAGACTGAGTTAATTCAATAGCACCTCTATTGTCCATTAACAAAGTACACTTTATATCACTAACATTTTTCACACACTTAAAGTCCATATAAAGTCCTTTTATATATAATACGATGAGATGTATGGCTGGTCTATTTGCTCTAAAACTGCCGTCTCTGAGTATGGGGATCCTTGATAGTAAAAGTATTCAGTATAGTCATGATCATTTTAGGTCTGTCCGTAGTCGTAACAGTCATAGTCAAAGTCATCGTAGTCGTAGTAACAATCATTAAAGTTTAGCTCTCTAGTTTTAAAATAGTTATTAGGAGGTGGATTGCCGGACCTACGCCAATCGTGTAACGTCGGTGGTAATTGTCTAGAAATAAAGTGAGTAACGCCGATCATCGGACGGGGTTGACTACTGAAATTAAATGAATGGTGTGGGGGTTTATTAGGCATTTTAAATACATTGCTTTGTGGGTTATAGTTTTGTGGAGGAGCACGCATTATTTGCTGTGTCCTAGTAGGTTGTTGCACATGGGGTGGTAAATTCGGCCTCCAACCCTGGGTAGTATTATGCTGCATAGGACTTGGCCTAGAAGGGCCAGGCGCAATTAACACTGGTTGCCTGTTGGGCATATTAAAAGGATAGGTCCTTTTTGGTACAACATTATTTAAAGATAAATGATTTGGTGGGCCTAAAGACTGAATATCTTTTCTAATAGAACCTTCGTTTCTATGCTGTATATATAATGTATTAAGTTCTTCTTGGACAAACTCTAAAGCTTTCTCCATGGTCTCAGGTCGCATACAACGTATCCTTGAACCAAGGGGATCCTTTAGCCCTCTTAAATAAGCTTGAAGGGTGAGTTTTGAATAAAGCGCGCGTTTTGCCTCTATAGTAGTAGTAATATTCTCATGCAAAGACACATAAGTCATAATCGTGCTAAATAGATTCTGGCAGCGTTCATAGAATTCCTGCGGCGTGCTAGACCCTTGGGTTTGCAAAGATAAATCACTATATAAAGCATTCTCATCCCTATGATCAGCGAAATTGTTAATTAATGCGTTTCTAATACCGTGCCAATTATCGGGTATACCATTAGAGTTAATCAATCTAGCTGCGGAACCCGTTATTTTATTTAGAATACCATTAACTAAGGCTAGATTCGTTAATTCATGTCCTGGATCTGTGTTTAATAGCGCAAGGACGAGCTGATCGCATAAATTAATAAAACGCGTTAATATATGCGGGTTACCATCAAACTCTGGTAATAATCTAAGGGATTATTTATAAATAGAATCTAAGTCAGGATGAGCCATTGTATCGTTTAATATATTTCGCCTCTCGTCTATCGTGCTGAGCCTACCACTAGGAAAAGTATGCCTTAATCTAATATTCCGCGATTCTCTAGGGTGAAAAATCTTGAATAATAAAAATTATCTTATAAAAACTATAGCTATCGCATGTACCTATTCTTAAACACAAAATTAAATTATTATACTATTCTTAAACTCAAAATTATATGAATTATAAAAACTTCATTTAAATTAACTATACCACTAAATACGAATACAAAATTAAAATATTTCAATTAATATTTTAAATTTAAATTACCAAACTCTAATTAATTTTTATTACGTAATAGGATAAAATAATATAAAATATAGGATAACCTAGAAAGGATGCAAGGACTGAGAAAGATTTAGAGTACTTACAGCATTTCTTTTGCCGTATTAATTTTCGAATACACCCAGACTGCAACACACTTACACGCAATTGGGACTTTCTGTTTTACTCATGAGATAGCCAAAATTGTTCAATAGAACATGTCCTGACCGAAGTCTAAAACAAGCAACCAGTTCTTTATATGTCATCCTAGTATTACTGAACCAAGGAATTTGTGTAGGCTCAGCAGTAAGGGATTTGTACCAAATGCCTTTTTCGCAAGAGATCACATTATAATGTGTCTTCCACTGATCATAGCAAAGCTTCTTTACAATTGGGATATAATCTGAAGACTGTAGCGATACACGAAGAGGAATTCCATCAGATTGGGCTACTTTGGCGAGCTCATCAGCGACCTCATTACCAAAAACTCCCACATGGGAGGGTACCCATTGTAGCTAGACGTTAATCCCATTACGTATCATTGTTTGGATACTTTCAATAATAAGATAAGCCTCCTTTCTTCCTAACTTTCCTCTGTTGCATGCAAGAAGGTGATATAAACTACTTTTAGTATCAGTGAATATGACTATTTTTGTATAGATAGTTGACGTTAAATAATGTAGGGCCTCAGCAATAGCCAAAAGTTCCAAGCACATGATGTTAACATTTGGATCATCTGCGTTGAATTTGGCCGCCACCAGGGCGACTGGATCATAAAATGAGCATCCATTGTGATTCCCAGTCTTGGATCCGTCTGTATAAATTTGAACAAAATCTGCGTAACTTTATTGTATCATTGACACTGTGGCATCTTTAAGTGCTTTAATTGACAGTTTTGCTTTTGAAGACGTTATGTTTTTGATATCATCTTTATTATACTTGTCAAATCAATTTTATAAATAATGAAAGGAAGTTGGTGAGATGGCCAGTTCTGGAATTTATAAATGTTTAAATCTTGATATTGACGGTGACTTGACTGCAACAGAGGAAGTTGGTTTTTTCGCCAGTAAGGTACATTAGACTTTATCAGGTTTTCAAAAACAGATAATCGTTCATTACAGTAATCATTTTGCCTAGAAGATATTTTAAGAAAGTATTTGTGGCTCAAGTAATTTCTACGTATAAAAAGAGGAGGTATGCACATCTCAGTTTGCATGACATGAGTGGGTGTAGAACGGATGAAACCTCCACAAATTCTTAAACACTGGCTATGTATGACATCGAGTTTCTGAAGTAACCTCGGGCTCGCGTTCCCGAAAAGAAAACATCCATAATCGAGTCTACTTCTTACTATACTTATGTATAATCGTCTTAGATGTGTCGGATGTATACCAAAGGACAAGCCACTAACACAACTCAATATGTTAATGAAGGGTATACATTTTTGAGTTAATTCATTGATATGCTTTGTCTATTTAAAGCGACTGTCTATCCACATACCCAAAAACTTAAAACATTGTACGACCTCAATGTCACAGTTATTAATATTTATGGAAATAAGTGGTAATTTGTAATTCCTTGATATAACGCACAGCTTGGTCTTAGAAGGTGAGAAACTGAGTACTATTGGTGTAATAAGTTCACAAAAGTTATGTAGTACATTACGTATAACGTCAGTACACATGTGGATACTGTCGTATGAATAGTAAAAGGAAAAGTCATCTGCATACTGTGATATTTTAACGTCATATCTTATATCTCTACAGGCTTTTATTGTGACAATATTGAATAAAATAGGAGACATAGGGTCCCCCTGTGCCAAACCCTGATGAGTGGTTCTAACCAATTCACTGCCATTGCTGAGTTTATATACAATAAGACGCTCCTTCAGAAACTCGTGTATATACCCACATATGTACCGATCCACCTTGAAATGAACCAGAGCTTCTATAAGAGATCTAATTAAAACGTTATTATACGCATCGGTAACATCTATAAAACTGCAGAGTGTAAACTCTTTTTTAGTGAGCGCTATTTCCGAGTCTACAATAAAACGAGATAAATTATCGTGACAAGAGTAGCCTCGACGGAAACCCAGGGTCCCCTCATGAAAAAACTTATTCTTTTCAAAAAAATAATCCAACCGTCTTGCTATAACACTATTGAATATTTTACACATGCAACTTATTAAAGAAATGGGTCTATATTTTTTGGTATTATTGTCTCTTTTCGGAATTGCAATTACTTTGATTTTTCGCCATTGTATTGGAATTATACCAGTTTCATAAATGGAATTATAAATCTGTAGTAGGATTTCCATAGCTTTGTGAGGTAAGTTATAAATCATTGAGTATACGATATTATTAAGCCCGGCTGAAGTATCCTTCCTTTTTAGAATATTCATTATCTCCGCCATCGAAAATAATTCAGGAGATGTAAGAGATTGACCCAGAGTACACGGTGGTAAGGTGACACTGTCCGGGGCTAGTTTCGTTATAAATTCACTCGCTTCACTTTCAAGTAAGAGACCCGAGGTACCATATTTACCTTTCAGCCATCCAAGCTTTCGCCACATTTCAAAACTAGAAGTTGAACCATCCACACTGTCACAAAATTCCTGCCATTATTTTCTTTTCGCTTGCTTTATTAATTTCCTAGCTATAACTACCTTTTATCTGTATACCTGATAGGACTCTGGGTTCCGATTCCTTCGAAAAAACTTAAGAGCCAGTCTTCTCTCCGCGACTGCTTTGGATAAACTTAGATTCCACCAGGGCTTAGGTTTAAATTTTGAACACATTTTAAAGTTAGGTTTTATATAATTTTCTTGAATATTATTGCTATCAAAACTAAAATTTACATTTGGTTTCTCTTATGATATAAGTAAACCATTTGCGATTGATGTAATTTAATATTTAACAATAGATGATCACTCCCTAATGTTTCATTAGTAGTCGACCATTCACAATCTAATATCAAGTCTGAGCTAACGAAAGTGACATCAGGTGAGGTACAAACTGTATTCATATCTACCTGAGCTATGCGCGTCGGCGAGCCGTCGTTTAGGTTAACAAACCCATAGTCACAGCTACTCTCGGCTAACAGGCGACCGCGCGTATCTGTGTGATAAGACCAGTGTATGTGATGGGCATCGAAGTCAACGGCTATTAAAGTTTTATTATTAAATTGACTAAATAACGTATCGCAATCTGTTCTATTTAAATGCATACTTTGAGGATAATATATACCAACGACATACTGAAGTTTATTATTGTTAATTAGTTCTATACACAAATATTCAAATGAGTTAAATTGGAATGAAGTATCTTTTATACGCGATGATAATGTTTTATGAACTAATATTGCGAGCCCACCGTAACTGTCGCTTCGGTCCTTTCTAAAAATCCGGTAACCAGAAAAGTTCACATTCTTATCTTCAGACAGCCAAGTATCCGATAGTATGCAAATATGAACATTACTACCTCTTAAATAAGACTCCACCAGTTTATGTCGTTTATTATATATACTGCGGCAGTTCCATTGAACAATATTAAGTTCTATACATTCACTCATAGGATGATTCAAGGTCATGCCGATTATGTGTTTAGAATACCTATTTATTTATTTACATTTATGTGATTGTTACAACAACTTGACAAGAATCTAATCATTTTTGGGTCAATAACTTTTCCTAAGGCTTGAGCATAGTCTTTATTTTGGACATTGTCGATGGCATCTATCACAATGGCTTGGTCCTTTGAAGGAAGCATCGGATTTTGTGTGACATTTGCATAGCTTTTCGTGGAATTATTCGTTGTAGTGGTCATTTTGTCCCCGTAGTCAGAGACAAAACGTTATCTTGGAACAAAAGATCAGATGTTTTTATAACATGCTAGCACAATCTTACAACGCGAGCAGAAAATATAACAGTAACGATTTAATTTATTGCACTCGTACGTAACTAAGATAGTAAACGCGTTAAACGTGCGCTCTCATCGAATGCGCAAATGCAACTGTTGTATCATTTAAAGATGAAAGAAAAATATTTAAGTCATCTCCTTGGCAAATAATATAGTTAAATGTTTGAAAATCGAACGTTTCATGAATATCTTTAGTTTGCTGAACAAAATTAGTATGCAGTATGAAATTTACTTTAAAAATTGTGTTTTGATGAATACACTCTTGTATTAAAAATAAAATATCATATTTAATAGAATTAAAAAATAGTTCGGGAGTTTCAAAATTTAACGGTTGTAAACGATCTACTCTACTCTTGATTTTATAAGTTAAAATTCTGTTTCCAAAAGCAGATTCAATAACACTTACGTTTGATAAAGAATTATGTGTATTTAAAAGATTATGTTTGTGAACATTACTTTTAAAATGATTAGCTAAATACCTTTTCTAGATCAATATATGACACGTTAAACATTCAACTTGACCATCGTTACCGACACTGGTCCCTACAGAGGTAGACGCTTCTTCTTCTGTTCTTGGTTTCTTAACGATCTGGGGGTCTTCACTACTCGTTCGCTTCATTCCTCTACCAAGTTGTAGTGGTTGACTGTTAAAATGTTTTATTTTATTAAAAAACAATGTTAAACAATGTGTAAATTATGGTTGAAATTTATGTTTATTTTACTTACATAAGCAGTGTTTCAACCATCGCACAGTAATTATACAACTCATCATCATATGATGAAACGAACAGTTCACGTTTCTCTATTTCATCACAAACTTTATACAGCTCCTGATTGAGTTCGCTGTTAAATAGTTCCATATTTACTTCCATTGGTGTGGAAAAAAAAGCACTGGTGCACATTTCACTGAGGTTCTCCATCTTTATAACAAATATAAGAAGAGGTAGTGGAGTACGTAACAGTTAAGTGTTGGTAGACCAACTGATTCCCAATTTCAAATAATGTCCAATATTTATAGTTTAGCAAAGGATTATAAAATCAGGTAGAATCTAATAAGTGCGCAGAAGTAATTTAAGTAAACAGAATCACATTCACTAATGATTGTTATTGTTAAAAAAGTATTTTTTAACTGTTTCACTTTCTGCTATTGTCTTTGTAATATTGTATACGAGGCTGTTTGTGTCGTCGTAGATGCTATCCTTATTATGCTTTACATAATATTTAATCCTCGTGGTGGCATGTTTCCAATGATCAATAGTTGGAATCTTGCATAGTTTCTTTATATCATACATTTCAACTTTTATTAGATGCGTCGCTTGGTCTCTGTCGTCGGAATTAGTAGAAATGTATGATACACCATCTCTAGAGGCTCGTGCCACGGTTGATGATAACAGTTTCTTCTTTTTTATTTTTGGTGCCACTTCAAAAAACTGATCAAGCGCCGGCGATTTCCTTTTTACACCATCGCATGTGTTATTAATCACGATGTCATCACTCTGTTCTTCGCATTGAGGGGAGAGTGACGAGTAGTAATACTGTTTATATGTATTTTCATCGAAGCTGAATGATTTGTGCAACAACACATGTTAATATCAATTTATTTACGCTTACGAAACGCCACACACACGTTAGGAAATAGAAAGAAAAGTAAGTTTGTCAATAGAATATAAACACCTCCATGGGTATTGATGGGTTGAAGTAACACACGTGTAGTATTGGTAGACTATATACAATTCACTGCGGTCAAGCGACCATACACTGATTGCATAGTAGTTAGTTTGTACCGGTTCTGGCTCGTGAGCCAGTAACAGGCTAACTCGCGGGCGCGGACGAACACCTACACGTTATCATCTAGAGTTTTTAAAAAGGAATTGTAAAAGATGGAATATTAATAGGATTCAGAATGATTGGACTTCAGTTTGTGGTGAATATTGCTTAATGTATTTGCAATATAAGTTTCAGGGATATTCAATGTATAGTTTTACGAACATATTTACAGGGAACACATTGTACAACGCTTTTAGTGGATGAGATGTTCCGCTCATATTTTAAAGAGAACTAGCAAACCAGGCCCACTTCGCTGGGCGTAAGTTAAAAGAAATTAAACGGGTTTTATAATTTTATGTTAAAAAGTTACTCCTTAGAACCTTAGGTATCTGTCAGTGAAAGACAGACAGACAAAAATTGTAAAAATTGATTTTTTGATGTTAGTACCTTATATACTTTAATATGTGTTTAGTTAAAAACTGAGAATTTGAAATGAAAAACAGACACTTCAATGTTATGTATGTGTATAGATATGTAATAAAATTATGAAATGAATAAATAAAAATTGTTAGAAATGAATGAGTGTGTTTTACTTATGATTTAGAGTAGCATGGTAGTTCATGACCAATAGAAGTATACAATAGCATCATAATGGATGTGCACAATGAGTAATAGATAAGAACGGCAATGCAGTCGTAATGGGGGTGTTCGAGGAACAATAGATAAGGAGAACAATGGAGCGCTAATGAGGGTGCGAGGTCACCGGATATCAATCAGATATTTCCTAATTGATTTCCACATCTCTAGAACCGCGCATCGTACGCAAAAATGGACCGCAGATTCGTGATCAGAGCATGCCAAAACTTTCTTTTTCTTTGGATCCGTCACTCGAGAATCGACCGTTGCAAAACAGAATCGCCCGCGAGTTAGCCCGTTAGTACCGGTACAAACTACTTTTTAGAATGCTTAAAATAATTTAAATATAACCATTAAAATTGTTATTAAAGCACTAGGGAATCATCTTAAACGAAAAAAGCGAATTATGTAACGTTTTTTATACATTAAAAAGAATTTGACCATACATTCACAGCAGCCGGATGATGTTAACGGCGCTGATAACACTCGAACATAAGTCGATCTTCGATTTGGTTTGGATTTCGATTTGGTTCGGGAGTAAGGCAACCGGATCGAGTTTAAATCAAAATCAAATTCGAATCAAAAACAAAATCAAATTCGAATCAGTTTCAAGAGTAAGCCAGCTGATTTCCATTATCACACGTCAAGGTTGCTGGGTAACCTAATCTGGAAAATATTTCTTCAATTAAACAACAGTATTACGAATTGTACCTACTATAAGTTCCTATAATCATTGAAATCTCAACTAATATTATAAAGAGAAAAAAAATATTTTTATTCATAACTAGCGACTTACCCTAGCTTCGCTCGGGTGTCGTGCCTAGCTTGCTTCCCCATACAAACTTTCATCCCCATTGTCACCCCCCAAGGGATGATTTCCGGGATAAAAACTATTTATTGCACTCACTCACTTTTCATATTTCGAGATGAAAAAAATTTTTTAGTAAAAAAAAATCTTTTAATTTTCTTCTATACGAAACTTGTCCTAACAATAAAAAACACAAAAAAAAAGAAATATCCAATTTGGAGCAGTTGATCGGAAGTTATGCGTGTAAATATATTTCGATGATTCATTTTTATTTATATAGATTTACATTTTACAGTGAACGCCACATCAACCTACTAAAAATCGAAGTTATGTGTTGACGACGTTAAAATGTGAGAATCTGCGGCATTGAACTCGCGTAGCGAGTTAATGGCATTGCAGAATATTTTTTTTCTTTCAAATGTAAAAAAGTTCTTTACATCCAGGCCACCATGTAAACGTTAAATTACATCATATAAAGTCTACACCGTAATTTTGAACAGAATATACAGAAGCGTTTTTAAAAATATTACCGAAACATACTGAACTCGCCGCGCGAGTCACCGGCACTGGAATAAAATTAACGTAAACTCGCAGGGCGACTCGGTGGAACTGAACGCGTAAACAATAAATGTGACTTGTTGTTGTTTGTGTGACAGCCTGTTGAAATTGCTTAGCGTGTTTTTATCAATATGTACGTGTACATTACAATATTATTTAATTTTCATATTTTTGCATTTGCGTGGCCTTATTTTATTTCCATCCTATACGATGCATGGCCGTTAGAAATGAAGGATAGTGGTATGATTTTATTTATCCATAACAATTGTTTACGTATTAACTCTTATTGATTTTGATATAGGTATAACTCAATATACATATAACGTGTGTTCATTTCCTTAATCTAATGTTTATATTTTATTATAATGGAACGAAGTTACACGTGAACAACCGGTTGGCTATAAACAATAATTATGTATTTATTCCTTCCTTCATTTTCTTCCCCCTTTTTTTTAATAAAATGTACTCACTTTTATCCTCGTCGCCACTTGTAGTGTCTCAGGAGCCAATAAAACACACACTTCCTAGCACTCAGGTAGATTTATTCAATGACAAATCAATACACGTGTACTCTCGCTCACAGCTGGTAACGTCTGCCTCCACTAACGCGTCGGCGCATACACTACACTATTCATAAAAATATTTACAAGTGTTTTAAACAAATACCTAAAAAATATATTTTTGAAAAGAAAGTAGGTAATTAAAGTAACTAATACAGTGTTTTCGCGCGCAATGTGAATCGAGAAGAATGCAACAAAGTACAAAAATATTGTGTCAAAAATGAATAAAGAATATTAAAATTTAAAAATATATAATTATTAATGTTTTAAAATTTCAAAACGAAAATCAGATTTAATCAATGAATTATAGACTTTAACGCACAGTTAAAGTAGGCACATTATGAATTGTAATAGCATAGTAAGAGATGACATATTGCGAATTACTCCCACGCGCACTAGTCACTACTGTAGCTTACACACAGTACCTACGCGATATAAAGGCGCTTCCACACAGCAGTAATAAAATTTTACATAACATTATATACCTAACATTTTTTAACACGAAATCATTTTTAATCCACGAAAAAAAGGAGAAGGTTCTCAATTCGACATTATTATATTGAGGCACGGGGATCGGG